TATATATTATATAAAAATTATTAGATTATATAATATTAAATATAATTATATATATATATATATATTTTATTATATATATATATATAAATATATATATATAATTATATATTTTTATCTATATATATTTTATTATATTAATCTTATATTTTTATTATCTCTTAATTTTTTTTTATTAATATTGAATTTATATTTAATTATAAATTTTATTTAATAATATTTAAAATGAAATTTTTTATTATATATACCTTCAAATATTTAATCAAAAATAGGAACAATAAGTTAAGCTCCTGATCCTAAAACTGCATATTATTTAAAATCTCCTGAACCTACAGCATCATATCCAATTACTTAACCATTACCTTAATTATCAAATCCTGCTAACAGATTAAAAGTATAATAAGGGAAAAATCTATATATATATTTATTAATAAAATTAATTATAAAATAAATATACCTTTTATAATATAAAGTTCTAGATAATAAAGTAGATATAGCCTTCATGGAAGCTTGTTTTTAATTATTATATTAATACATTTGTAAACGGGATTATAATTATTTAGAAAGTGCCACAAAGTCAGCATACATTCCAGAAGTAGCTAAATATACATTATCTGATAATTTACAAAGTTTAGAATTTTCTCTACTAATAATAGAATATCCTTAAGATAATCTAGTATCACCAGCGACTATTACAAATCCTTTTCCTCCAATTGCTTTTTTTAAAAAAAATGAGATATTAATTTTTTTGTTTTTTTATAGTTTTATTGTTTTGTTTTTTTGTTTTTTTTTACCGCATACTGTTCCTGCGTTAAATACGTAAGGATTAAATTAAGGCTTTTTTGCCTCAATATTTTCTTAAGGAGCTATCTTATGTTCTTTTGTTAAATGTGATACCATATCATTTGGGAAAGAATGTATAGGAAAATTCATTTTTATTTTATTTAATTATCAATTATTTATTTATTTTTAAAATATTTTTTTCAAGTTATATTAGAATAATAATTATATTTAAAAAAAAAAAAAAAATTAGAATAGAGAGATATTTCATATCATTATAATTATTTTTTTTTATTATATAATTAAATATTATTTATTTAATTATATACAAAAATTATGTAATTTTTTATTTTAAAATTATTTTCTTCATTAATATATTATACTTATAAAGTATTTATATTTTCGATTAAAGAAGTCTATTTTTTATTAAATCAAAATAAATACATATAAATATTATATTATATAATTACTTTTAAATAAAATTTAAGCTTTGTAATTTTAATATAAATAAAAAACCAATAAATTAGTATTATTATAATTAAAAAAAAAAAAAAATAGTAAAATATATACAAAATATAATATAATGATATGGCTTAGATTAAAATTAGATTTATTACCGTGTATTGCATAAGAAATAGATAGATTTTGCAATTTATATTTTGGTTTTTATTTTATTTATTGTTTAAAAAAATTGTATATAGAATAATATTTTATTAATAATAAAACAAATAAACAAAAAGAAAAAGCCAAAAAAGTAGAATAAGGAGATGAAGAAGCATATAAAAATATAATTTAATTATAAAAAGATGTAAAATAATATATAATATATATATATATATATATATATATATTTATTTTATATTAATAATATATTTTAGGCTTTAAAAAGAATAGATGATATAGATGCCTTTTATGAAAAAAATTATTCTGATTATAGAATTGGATATTTTGAGAAATTAAAAATTAAATTAAGAAAATTATTAAGTCCTTTTATACCTGTAAATAAAATGATTTATTAAGAAATGATTTAAGCAAAAAAGGAGTAAAAAAAATTTATATTATTTTAAATAAAAAATAATAAGTTAATAAATACAAGAAAGAGAAAAAATATTAAGATAATAATTTTAATGTAATTTTTACTTTTTTATTTACCATATATATTTTCTTACATAAATTATTTATTTTTTTAAATAAAGCTCTTGATAATTAAGTATACGATAAAAATTTTGAATAAATTTAAATTAATAATGATTAATAAGAATCTTAAAATATTAATAGCAGGTTATATTAATAATTTTAAAAATAATATATTATTGTTTAATCTATTAGTTCAAATATTAAATTATTGGGAAATAATAAATCTGATGAAATTGTTTTGGCAATATAAATGACAAAATAATAATATTTATAGTATTTATAGAAAAAATAATATAAAATTAATTGAAATTAATTATTTATTAAATAAAAATTTTAAATTGTTTATGAAATTATATAAAAAATATTTATATTTATAATAAAAAAGTTTAATATTAATATATTTAAAATATTTTATCACAAAATAAAATTTAAAAAAAAATATAATAATGATAAAAAAGTAAATTTCAAATTAAAATATATATAAAAAAAATAATAAAATAAAAAAAAGTATATGCAAGTAAATATTTATTATATAATGTAAATTAAGTAAATATATTAAAATAAAATAAAATATCTAGAAAAAAATATTTTAATCTATATATATTATTAATTATTTATAAATAAAAATATATAATTTATAAAAAATTATAACGATATACAAATATATATACATATAATTCTATAAATATATATATATATATATATATTTATATATATATATATATATATATATATATATACTTAGTTTTTATTATATGTATTTCTATTTATTTATTTATTTAATATTTTTTTTTTATTATTATTATTTTTAAAATTCTTTTTTTAAATTATATAAAATATTTATTTATACTTTTTTTTATATATCGAAATTTTTTTTTTATTATTTTTAAAAAGTTTGAGATTAATATTAATTTATTTTTAATAAGAATATAATTATTAATGTTGAATTTTTTATAAAAATTTTTTAATCTAATTAAATATTTCATATTTTATTATTTGATATAGAATCAATTGTAAATAATTAAGCAAAAAAAATATTAATTGAATTAAATAAAAATAAATGAAGAAAAGTTTTAAATAAATAATAAAAAATTAATTTTAATTTAAGTTCAATAAAGATTAATTTTTATTATTTAATATTTTATTCTTTTATATATATTTCAAATTTATTTATAGCTTTTAATTTATTATTATATTTAGTTTTATTTTTGATATACATCTAAATATTCTATATTATCAATACTTTAATTAGCACTAAAACTTTATTTGATTTTGATATTTTTTTTAAAGTATTTTTTTTTTCTTTATTATTTTTATTATCTTTTTATATAATACTTGCATTTGAAAAACAGAACTATTATTAATTATTATTTAAATTACTATATTAACTATTAATTTCTGTTTATTTATTTGATTCAAAAATTTCTTTTTACTATTATTTATTTATTTTATAATCTTACTTTTAAAATTTTGAGAAAATTATTTTTTAATCATATTATTAAGCACCTTTTTATTTTATATAATTTTTTTAAAAAAAGTAATTTTTTATATACAGTCCATTTTTTAAGAAACTTTAGTTAAATCTTAAGAATTATTACATATTACATTATTTTTAAAAATTTCTTCATTTTATAATTAATTATTATCAAATTATTTTTTTATATTTTTTGCACATAAAGGTATCTTGCAAAATGGACAATTTAAACTTTTTTTAAGCCATTATTCTAAACATTCTGAATGAAATAAATGTAAACAAATAGTAAGCCTGCATTAATTATTCAAATCAAAAGTATACAAACAAATAGACTTTTTTTGAAGTTTAAATTTATAATTTATATTAATATAATTAATTACACATACTGATTATGATAATAATTTTGCATATTAACTTAGAATTTACTAATAAGATTATATTGGCATATATTTATTTATTATCATTAAAGGTATTAATATTATACTATTTTATAATCTATATTTTATAAAAAAAGAAAAATATAAAAATATTTATTATATAAAAACTTTTTATCGCCATTTTATTATATTTTTAAATTAATATCTTAATTTTATTAATTATTATCAATTTATTTATTAATTTCATTATTAATATATTAATTTTTATTTCTTTTTTCTTAAAATATATATAATAATATATTTAAAGACAAATAACTATGATTAAAGCTAAAATAACAACTAAAATTATCACCAAAATATTGTTTTAATCTATTTTATTTAAAAAAAATATATATATAAATATAATAAATTTAAAAAAATTTTAAATATATTTTTTCATAATTTTTTTTAAAAAACGAAATTAATGATAATATAAATATATAAATAAATATAAATTATCACTTTTGTTTTTATTTGAAAATAATAGATAAAAAATTAAAAATTAATAGCAATATATCAATATATAAAGATATATATATATATATATATATATATATATATATTATT